AAATCTGTCCACATGGGCTTCTCCAATATCTTTTGTTAAAAAAGCAGTAGAAAGTGGGAAACGGCGCCATAGATCATCTATTTTTTGCATAATAGGGTAACTGTCCCAATTACTGTGCCTGTCCCTATTAGTGTGTTTTTGTATTTCGATAAGTCATAAAGAAAACTAGCACGAATAAATAAGAAAAAATATTTTTTCTTGTTAAGTTAATGTTAACTGTTAACTGTTAATGCATACGTTACCGAAGAAAATATTTTATTTTTTGAGTATTAAATTATTTTAAATATTTTTCAAAAGATATGAAGAATTTATGTGAATCCAATAATACGTACTGCACAATTTTAAGCTTGTCCCTATTAATGTGCCCTGTATTGGAGTTGAAAACGTTGCGTTATAAGTGTACATTGAAATAAATATAATTGAAATAATGATTTATGTAATATTAACCTAAACAATTATCTTAAATTTATTACCTGTTTCAGTAACTATACGTTAAAATGAATCAAATGTAGATAGGCACACAAATTGGGGGCACATTAATAGGGCCATCGTCGGTTGGAGGACTCACTAATAGGGACAAAAACATGTTTTTTATTTTTGTCAAAAACATTATAAAGTATTAACATTTTTTAAATTAAAGAAATATTAGAAGAAAAAGAAATAGTTGAAAAACCGATATTGATTGCAAGCAGATAAAATTAAACCTACAATATTTAATAATTAATTCAGTAATAAACAAGTTGGCTAAAAGGCACATTAATAGGGACAGTTATCCTAGTACTATTGTAATTCAAAATTCTCGGAATTGTGTTCATTAAATTAAAAAGTGATGGGGTTGTATCACGATATGACAATGATAAACGTTTTTTGGATTCAATGCTCTAAGTTTTTCCAAAACAGAGTTTTGCATATCATAGCGTTTTGATATTTGCTGTGCTGATATCTAAACATAATTATACATATAATATATAAATAACAGAAACGGAAGTAAATACATATGGTAACATTTGTTATCGATAATAAATGAAACCTTTAGAAATTCCTTGCAGGGCCAAAAAATTCTTCCTTCTCTTTTTTGTTTAAAATTGATTTTGATCATTAATGGCTTGAAATTCTTTAATGCCAAAATATACTTGTGAATTTGGAATACATTCAACTTCCTTGTAAGGATTGATATCAGAAAGTGAAGTTTTCATTACATAATCTCTCTTCATATAGCATAGAAGAATTTTTTGACAAAGATTTATTATTTTTTCATGTAATTCAGTAATGACTACTGCATCAGTTTGAAAAAAACGATTGAAATTCGTAAACTTTGGTAAGATCCATTCAATGAAGAAAAAATATAATTTTGTTAGCGGATTATTAAGTTCTCTAAAAATTTGTTCTGCAGCCTGCAATCATTCACTTAACCATCTATCGGTGAAAAACAATCTCAAAGCTTCCCATTGTTCAATAATGCGCCCCACCACCATTATTAAAGACAGCCAACGTGTTTGAGATGGATGTAACATCTTATGTGGTGCCATATCAACAAATTCTTGAAATTGACGAAACTGACATTGTTTTTTTGCACTTAATTTAAAGAAATTGTATATATTTCTTGCTAAATCTTGAAGTAATCGTGGAAGACTTTTGCAAGCTTCACTTGCGCATAAATGTGCGGAATGACATACGCACTTTAAAATAAATATATTAGGACATTTTTCTCTCAATCTACTAGCTACAGAATTATATTGACCCATCATTGTATTACATCCATCTGTAGCAAATCGGGTGGCACCCAGTTGGACACGGCTCAATTGGACACGAGCCACTCACAGCGCTTGAGACTACAAAGCTCCTAAGCACCAGTCGCTGTGATTGGTGGTGTCCAATCGAGCCGTGATCAATCGGGATCACCCCCAGCAAATCCTATCATATTTGAAAGAGGTATTGAATAATTATCAAGAGACTGTATTATACCTTTAAATAAACTTTCTGCTGTTGCATCTTCGTTGGCATTGCTTGAATCAAAAATTTTGTATAACTCCCAAAATACATTGACAACTTTTTTTTAAATTTGTATTATTAAATCTCACTACAACACAAGCGATTTTAATGCAAGATATGTCAGTTGATTCGTCTGTAAGAAGACTAAATTTATTGATTCTTAATATCTGAGCTAATTTCTCTTTATGGGAAGCACCGATAACATTTACTGCAATACTAATTGCTTTTGTTCTTTTCAAAGTAATATTTCCTATTACAGGATGATAATAGCAAATATCTTTTAACAAATCTGTTAAATAATCTGCCAATCGAAAAGGCAGATTATGTTCCATTAAAAATCCAACCAATTTTATTTCAGTTGACATAATATCCTTACTTGCAGATTGAATTTTCCTGGTAAAACATGAAATAGATTGCTGTTTCACAGTTGCAGCTTGCATTTTCTCATACTTTTCCCATGTCACCTAAGAACAATTACCATGAATTCATTGAACAATGGCATTACATACATTTTGCTCTGTATTCATTATTCTGGTCACGTTTTAACCAAGCACTAAATTCTGGTTGAGAAAGCCATTTATTTGTAAATTTTTGCTTTCAGTGTTTTGTTTTTAATCGGTTTTTCTCATTTTTTGATGCACTGTAATCAAATCCAGATTTAGTAATTCAAGAATTTTGAAAAGTAATATTACATTTTTATAATTAATTCTTAAAGGGCTATGCATAATAAATGAAATAGCCCAATGAGCAAAGTATCTAAAATTGGTACAACTTCAAGATATCTTTAAGAATTTTTTTAAACACATCTTTAAGATATTTTATTAAAATACTCCGAAAAATATCGTAAAGTTCTTATATATGTATCAATTTTATAGACATTCTGCTCATTGAGAGAGAACAGAGAATAAGGAATATTTTAATATACTCAAATATATTATACCTTTCTTTTCCTACAGATGAATCATATGCTAATAAAGTTTCATCTGCATCATTACTATCACTGAATTCTATCTATAATATTAATTAAAATCTTTATTTGCCTTTTTAAATCAATCTTTAGTGTGTTTATAATTAAACAAACCTCCAATTAAAATGCATTTTGTTTTACGTATGATGATTGTTATGGATTGGTGTGAATGATGCCAAGGGATGAAAACTTAAAATTGTTTTATTTGTAAATACGAGACAATGTGAGTGTTACTTGCATTGGAACATAAACTTGCTAAACTAAAACTAACGTCGCGTCCACCTTACTGCCTATCTGCGCGCCACGTAGCGCCTCCAACTCCCTATCAAGTGGACGCCGGACCGAGTCCGTAACAGTTCTCCCCCCTTGAAAGGCTATCTTTCAAGTTATACTCTGACTTATACATATCATCGGTTATCATAACAATCTTCTTATCTATTACTACTTTATCAATTGCTTCTTGGTGTAAGGAGGTCATCCTCCATAGGCAGGGGACATAAGCTGCGTGATGTTCGCTTAAACTGGCCTTGTGCTGTTCTGACCGTGACCACCCTAGTTACGCCATCGGCTCCGGGATGCTCCTCCGTAATTCTTCCTACATGCCACTGGAGAGGAGGCAGACGCTCGTCCTTAAGGAGTACCAGAGTTCCCTTAGTCAAGGCTGTAGTTCCACGAACCCATTTACTCCGACGTTGTTGCTCTGTCAAATATTCGGTCTGCTAGCGCCTCCAGAAATCTTGCCGCATCTTTTGAAGGTGTTGCCAATGACTTAGATACTTATCAGAAACATCAACATAATTCCCTTGTACGGGCTGAAACAAAAAATCTCCCACCAAAAAATGGACAGGGGTTAATACAAACAAATCTTGAGGATCATTCGAGCACGGAGTTATTGGTCGAGAGTTTACTACCGCCTCGATTTCAACGAGAAGAGTGTAACATTCTTCAAACGTCAAGACCAAACCCTTGGTCACAGCGTAAAATTGCCTTTTTACTATTTTGACTGCAGACTCCCATGAACCCCCGAAGTTTGGGGCTCTCGGAGGAATAAAGCTCCACTCTATTTTTTGCTTCGCCAACAGTGTTTGTATTGTATCTTCCTTTTCCTTTAAAAATGCGTATAATTCCTTAAGTTCTCGAGAGGCACCTACAAAATTGGTGCCATTATCGGATATCAGACGGGAACAAATTCCTCTCCTTCCGGTAAAACGACGAAGAGCTGCCAAAAACGCTTCGTCGTCAGATCCGTGACTAACTCGAGATGAATAGCTCTTGTGTTGAGACAAATAAATAAGGCAATGTAAGCCTTGAAAGTAGGGTGACGTCCTCTGCGACGGCTCTCCCTTATGAATATAGGCCCTGCATAATCCACTCCACTAATAGCAAACGGACGGATATATCCAGTTACCCTTTCCTTGGGCAAGTCCCCCATCTTCACAGACAAGTTGGGAGGACGCGTTCTAAAGCAATTTAGGCATGAGCGGACTGCTCTTCGAGCTTCTCTTCTGCCGGCTAGAATCCAATACTTTCTTCTGCTTGATGCTAACAGTTGCTCGACTCCGCAATGATGTAGCCTCAAATGCTCTTCCTTCAATATCAGATTAGTTATGTGATGTTGCGACGGCAGTATGATAGGGTGCTTTGTTTCTTCCGGTAAGTCAGCATGCCGTAAACGACCTCCTACTTGGATTAGGTCCTGCTTATCTATAAATGGGTCCAGTGCGATCAACTTGCTATTCCCCTTGATAGCACTCCTCTTTTTGAGACTGTGAACTTCCTGGATAAAGGACTCATGTTGGACTATCCTCGCGATAGCCATTTCTGTCTTATTCAGCTCACCGCCCCTTTGTTTATTGCGACGACAACCTTCGGCAAATCTGTAACACCAAGCTAGAATTCTTACGATCCGTTCAAATGAAGATACACTGGGTAATATTGAATGTGACGAAGTTGCGATTAGAACAGAGATCTTCTTTTCTCTTCTGTCCGGTAGTTCTGGGATGTTCTCACGCCGTTCTGGCCATTCTTCTTCTGAACGAAGTCATCTGGGTCCATGCCACCATAGGCTGTTATCCTTTAGTTGCTGAGTAGTGGTTCCTCTCGACAGGATATCTGCAGGATTATCGCCAGACGCCACATGATGCCACGAATCTTTCGCCGAGAGCTGTTGTATTTTCGATATCCTATTGGCCACAAAGGTCTTTAAGGTGCTGGGGCAGGCTTCTATCCATCCCAGCACAATCATGGAGTCTGTCCACATGTGAATATTGTTGGTTGCTTCGCCTAATGCCTCTTGTACTTCGTGACACAGCTGAGCCACTAGTAGTGCCGCACACAGCTCCAACCTTGCAATGGTTATTGTCTTTAAGGGAGCTACCCTTGACTTGGCGCATAAAAGTCTTGAATGTAAATTACCATCCACGTCCTTGCTGACTGCATAGATACATGCGCCGTAGGCCTTCTTGGAGGCGTCTCCGAATCGATGTAAATCAAATTTCGCCTTTGCGTTGCCTTCCTTTACACAACGAGAAACCCTTATCTCCTGTAATTGGTTTAGAGATGAACGATAACTCTTCCATTGCGTGTATAGATCTTGCGGCAGGCTTTCGTCCCAGCCAACATCTAAGGACCAAAGCCTTTGCATGAGGATTTTGGAGACTATAAGTACAGGCGATAGAAGTCCCAATGGATCGTAAATCTTTGATATTTCCGATAATACTGTGCGTTTAGTGGCTCGGTGAAGGTCCATATCCCTTATACTGCAGTGTAAGAGATCTGTTCTATGATCCCATAGCAATCCAAGTGCCTTCAGAGGCTCTTCTTTGTTTAATACCAATAGTTCATCGGCCTTGCTATCCACTGTCAAATGTTGCAATATCTTTTCATTGTTTGCTCTCCATTTTCTCAAAGGAAATTGACCTTTTCCTAGTAATGTCATAAGTTGTTTCTGCAGCATAATAGTTTCTTCAAGATCGTCGGATCCAGTGATTACATCGTCCATGTAAAAATCCGATTGAAGTGCTTTCCTTGCAAGGGGGAATGATTCTCCCTCTTCTTCTGCTAGTTTCTGCAAACAACACTGTGCCAAATAGGGCGCACAGGCGGTTCCATATGTGACAGTATTTAAGCTGAATACCTCTACCGGTTCAGATTCTTGACATCTCCAGAGGATCAACTGAAGATTGCGATCTTCCTTTACTATCCTTATTTGCCGAAACATCATTGCAATATCGGCATTTATTGTGTACAAGTGCGTCCGGAATCGTAACATAAGATATAACAAGTTGTTTTGCAAATTAGGTCCAGGCAGCAACATGTCGTTGAGTGACTTTCCGTTGTCTGTCTTGGCTGATGCGTCGAATACTACTCTGAGCTTTGTGCTAGTGCTTTCGGGCCGGAGTACAGGCTGATGTGGTATAAAGTACGATGGCTTCTTGCTGGAAGCGACATCCCCAGATGCCGTACTCATGTGTCTCTTATCCTTGTACTCTTCCATGAAGCGAACATATTCTTCTTTGAGGGCTGGCTGCCGTTTAAATCTTCTTTCTAGCGCGAGCAGTCTCTTCATCGCGGTCTCCCGTGAGTCTCCGAGAGCAATTTGAGAATCCTTCGGCAAACTAACTATGAATCTTCCATCCGACTCTCTTGAATATGTGTTGATAAAATGCTCTTCACAGTAACCTTCTTGTTTGCTGAGTAAGCGCGGTTCTTGAATATCTTCTTGTTTCCAAAATCTCTCGATTTGTTCTTGTAGAGCTTGATTCGTTGTGATTAGCGACGTTGATGCTTTGTTAGGATTCGCGTGCACCATCTCGCCTCCGATTACCCATCCAAGAAGAGTCTTTTGCCACGTAGGATTCCCTCGGCCACCTTGTATCTGACCTACACACAATAATTTCCAAAATAAGCCAGCGCCTATCAGTAGGTCTATTTTACCTGGCTTGTTGAAGGAGGGATCTGCTATTCTAGCGTCGTCAGGTAACTTAATGTTTTCTTTGTTTAATTTGACTTGTGGCAATCGTTCTGTTATGGTAGGAAGCACCAAACAATCTATCTGCACTTTAAAGTTGGTATGACGGGACTCGATCTGTAGACTCGTGGAATATCTAATTTCCGTCGAACACTGCATGACACCATTAATGATTTGATTCGCTCTTTTGCATGGCAGTTTTAATTTATCAACTAATTCTTTCATCACTAAATGCGACTGTGAACCCGGATCTAGCAAAACTCTACATTGTTGCTGCTTCCCTTGAGCATCGCGAACGTACACTTGAGCTGTGGCTAGTAATATTAGTGAATGTGAACTTGACTTGTTACTATTTGTTAATGCTACATTATTCTGTGTAGAATCATCCGCTTGATTCATGCAATGAACAAAATTACAGTGGGTAGTCGTCGATTTCTCTGTTTCTTCTGATGATTGCGTATCAGGGTTCGCGACAGACTCTGACTGTGCGCTCGCCTGATCTATGTGCAACAGCGTGTTATGCGCCTTGGAACACTTACGGCAACTTGAAGACCTACATTCTTTTACATAGTGCCCTGCTCTTAGACAGTTAATACACAGCTGTTTCTTTCTTACCTCTGCCTTTCGATCCTGAACCGATCTTTTTAAGAATTCCTCGCAATTAGAAATGTGATGCTTTTCCTGACAAATCGGACATGCTTGCGTAGTGACTGCCAACGCTACTCGCTTCTCAACCTTCTTACTGGTGTTATCTTGTGTTGTAGGCTCCTGTTTAACCTTTCCACTGTTCAACATCTCAAATGTTCGACATCTTTCCTGCAAGAATTTAAGAAATTCTTCTACCGTTGGCATGTGATCTTGTTCTTGTTGTCCGACTACATCCTCCCACTCACGCTGTGAATGAAAATCCAACTTGTTCCTAGCAAGAAAAATAATGATAGCATCCCATTGATTGACGGGTTGTCCTAACACTTCTAACGCTTTCAAATGAGTGCTAATATGTACTATAAACTGCTTCAATGTTTTATGCTTATCCTTTGTAATTTGCAGAAATTCCAATAACCATGTCAAATGACTGTTGATAATCAATTTCTTATTTTCATAGTGGCCCTTCAAAAGGTCCCAAGCAATTACATAATTCTCGCTCGTTGTATTCAGTCCACTAATTACTTGTAAGGCTTCGCCCTTTACCGTACTACGCAGATATTGGAATTTCTGAACTGCCGTTAACTTTCGATTATCATGTATCAAGGACGTAAATGCATCTTTGAAAGACATCCATTTTTCGTACTCACCATCAAACGCGGGTAAGGTTAGCGTCGGTAATTTAACATTAATCGTACCTGGAGGCTGTTCCCTATTCGTTTGCTGTTCTTGCATTACCACTAAATTTGCTGCTTGTTGCGTTTCTGCCATGACGCTGCGTACCTTGTCTGTTGCTTCATAGTACATGGTTTCGAAGACGATTCTCTCTCCTTCTTCCTCTTTCACCACATCTTCCAATTGTTCCTCTTCTTTTATGCGTAATTCTTCCAGTTGTAGTTGGTTTTCATTGAACGCTGCCCACAATTCTTCCAGTTTTTTACAACGGGTCTCTGCTTGTTGATATGTGATGCCTTGTTCTGTTGAGATATAATTGAAAATCCGCGTCACTTGTCCTTTGACTCGAGCTCGCGTTAATTTAGCCTTCTTCAATTCCGCCATGTTTTCCGTCCGTTCTCACTGCGACGATTTCTAGAATGTCTTTATGCGTCTGTCTGCTTTCACTTATGCTTTTCTGATTTCTTCCTCGCCTCGTGCCTCAACGTTGGGCGCCAAAATTATGTTATGGATTGGTGTGAATAATGCCAATGGATGAAAACTTAAAATTGCTTTATTTGTAAGCACGAGACAATGTGAGTGTTACTTGCATTGGAACATAAACTTGCTAAACTAAAACTAACGTCGCGTCCACCTTACTGCCTATCTGCGCGCCACGTAGCGCCTCCAACTCCCTATCAAGTGGACGCCGGACCGAGTCGGTAACAATGATTCTCCAAAATCGGAAAGTAAGGTTTAAAGATATATTATAATGATATTGAACATAAATCTTAAAGATATCATTAAACAACTTTTACATTATGTATGTGTTGATTTTGGATATTGTCTGGGTTACATTTAAAGCTTACAACCATTACAAATCCGTGTGTTTATTAACTCAATTATGCCTAATTTTTTCACATCTAAACACACTTTATCCAGGAGATATCTTCCGGAGTACAATGGAGATATCTCCTGGATAAAGTTATCCGCAACTTATCCAGAAGTGAAAAAAATTAGGCATTAGAAGAAATCGTTCATTAAAAATAACTAACCTCCATTACGTTTCTAAAATTTATAAACACTTATGTCTATAAATGGTATTTATTGAACTTTATGTAACTGGCTTTTATTGCGTATACTCGTATATAACTGGCTGTCTATAATGACATGTCGTAAACTTTTAGTTTTTCTTTGTCTATATAGATATAGAAAGCATATTGAAAGAATTTAAATGTATTTAGTGCCAAATAAAACACACATTATGAGTGCTTTTCAACAAGAAATGTGATTTGTTGGAAGCAAAGATAAGAACCAATCAAATTTGTTTGTTGTTTAATCGCTTAGGCTGAGTTTCCACTGAGCGCGTCACGCATCGCATCGTCGAAGGAGAGAAAGAGAAGGTTTGTGTATACAGGGTGTTTGGCGACTACCGCATTTTTTGTCATACGTGGGTAGAACAGCCTATACTGAATCAAAAAGT